ACGAATTATAAAAAATTAAATACCCTACATAGATTAGAGCCTGAAACAACTAGTGACAAAAGTTAAAGAAACTGCAAAAAACAGGATTACAGGTGAACAAAATACAAAAATAGACAAAAACAATGAATATATTACAATTGCATAACATTATTGCTGACAGTGAAAAAACTGACATAACTGAAGGTATTCTGTGCCTTGGTTCAATTAGTAATCCAGATGGAGACTTCAGCTGAGAAGCAGAAAAAGACACTTGTAAAGGGATTAGAAAAGATACTTAAGTGCTGCTGGTCAAGGTCGTAACCATTCATAGAATTATGGATAGAATTACCTTATTTTTTGCACCATAAGACACACTTTTTTTCTCTCCAAAGGGGGGGTAGAAAGTCCGCGCGTCCTATGGTGCGAAGGTGGTGACTTCGCCCTCCTTCCTCTCTGCGCGAAGTTTGGCTCGCCTACCTAGGTGAGAAGAAGGGGAGGGAAGGAGGGAAGGAGGAAGGGCCAGCCGAAAAGGGTCTCCTCCGAAGCCACGATGGACGCCTCCGCCTCCACCTCCTCCAGGACTCGGCGTCTGGGGCTCGAACCTGTTGCGCTTCTTCGCATTGCCGCAGGCTCGGTCCCCGAAGCGCGCCCTGGCTGGTGAAGGGAAGCGCTGGCTGTCCTCCCTCCCTCCCCCGCCCTGACTCGACTCTCCGCCCCGCTTTACGTCTCTCAGCGTGATGAACTTTAAAAAAAACAGTTCATTCCCCCCGGACTAGATTGGGGGCTGGAGAGCGGGTCTCTTGTAGCTCCCATGCCGAGTTTGCTGCCTGCCGCAGCCTGGCCGCGAGGCTGAGAAACCTCGCTGGACCCTGGGTGCAAAAGATCGGGCCGATTTGCTCTTCTGCTCAACTGTCAGAGCCTTTTTGCCCCCCCCCTCAACGTCAGACGCTGGTGCCCGGTTCTCTCCCGACAGGAAGTGGAAGAAAAGACTGCCAGTCAAGTCATTTGGTGCAGCATCTTGGCTGCCTGCTGCTTGGGGGGGGTACCACTGCGGTCTGGACCTTTGGGCAGCCCGGAGTGGACAGGTCCCAAAATGCTTTTATTGATGGGCATACTGTAGGAGCGGCTCTCGCAGAAGGGGTTGGCCTGCCCTGTAGTACCTACAGATACAACCGGCCCTTTGATGGGGACCAAACTGCTGATGCGGCCCCCGATGAGCCCGGGGGGCAGGGTGAGTCTCTAAAGTGTCCTGGAACACACTCTAGGACCCTTTGGAGGCTCACCCTGTCCCCCCAGGCTAGAGGGGGCGAAATTGCCACCTTCTGGGGCTCTTCTGAAGCTTTCCAAGCCTCAAAAGAGCCCCAGAAGGTGGTGATTTTGCCCCCTATGGCCTTGGGGGGGGGGCTGGGTGAGCCTCCAAATGGTCCTAGGTTGTGTTCCATAAGACGGACCTCTCCATAAGGCTCACCAATTTTTAGGAGAAGAAAACAGATTTTTTTCCTGTTCTAAAAATTTGGTGCGTCTTATGGAGAGGTGCGTCTTATGGAGCGAAAAATACGTATATTCCCAATTACTGTGTACAGATATCAAAAATGGATAGTGAAGAAAGGTGACATAAAAAAACTGATTTGTTTGAAATAAGGTGGTGGTAAAGATATTTACTGGCAACATGAACTGCCAGGAAAATTAATAAATTGGTGAGATTTTTACCCCACCCCCTAGACAACGTCTACTCGGGGCGGCTTACATATCAAGTTTGAAATCTCTCTAGAAGTGAAAATGACTGAATTGACACTATGGGTGTAGCACGAGAGGACAGAAATCATTGGAAATGGTTGGACAGCTCAGTGGTTTAGGTATCTGGCTGTGGAGCCAGAGGGTGGGGGTTTGATTCCTTCCAGTTCTGCAGTTCTAAGATAATGATGATGATGAAGGCAACAATGCTTGGAAAAGTTAAAGGCAGCAGGAAGAGAAGACAAAATGTAAGGTTGATTTACTTAAAAAGGAAGTCTCAGCTTTTCATTTCCAAGACCTGAGGAGGATTGTTAGTGCTAGTACCTTTTGGAGGTTGCTAATTCATAGGATTGCTATAAATTGAAGCAATTTGGTGGCATATAACAACATGTAAGCTGAACTTTGCAAGCAGAAATGCTGTTTCAAGAACTGAGCTGTGCTCTTCTAACATGAAAACTTATCTGAAGGCTTACTTACAATTTGATAACCTGGAACTATTTTGTTCACCACGTGCCTGTGATGAATTTGAACGTATATTTTTAAAAAGTGATAATAATTTTGATTTAACAAACATGTCTTGACAAGGTCAGGATTTGAGGAGGTGTTTGTTTGGGGGAAACTCCCATGATAGATCCTGTCTACTTGGTAGCAGTTTCTGCCTACTGTCACTGCACAAATGACATTGGAAGGAAGCAATACTCAAACTTCTGATGAGTATGTGTGCACAAAAGGAGCCAAAGAAGGTTCCAAAAAGGAGGATTTTATCCAATAAGAATTATAACAAACAAGCCAATTCTCTCTAATTTGACAGCGGCAGTACAGACAATGTCAAAACAGTCAAAGAGCAGCATCTTTGCCCTAGCCATGTAAAGCAGCATCATTCACCCCTGTCCTGCTAGAGTTCTGAATTCATAATTAAAATCACAGATCTTATTTCTTCACAATATTATAGTATTTCAAGCAGATACTTGGGAGACCAAGTCATTTTGATGGTATGTTATGCTCTTTCTAGCACCCAATCCTATGGTCTGCTGCCACATGGCAGTAAAGCAAAAAATTGGGTTATTTAATTAGCCTACAGCCTGGCTATCCCAGGGGTTCAGATGCAGAACAGTGTTTCTCCTTGAAAATGATGGTTTCTTTCTTCCCAAAAGGCTTGCAAACTAAGAAAGTGAGGATTCGAAATAATTTGGATCAAAGGAATGAAAAGTAAAGACAAAATGTACTTGATGTTGAAATAAAGATGGCTGTGTGCTTCAGAACTCTGAACATAAAGATTTCTCTTTTCTTTTGCACCACTTTAAAGGTCTCATCTTTTTCTTCTGCCAGCCTTATATACAATATTAACTACATAAAACTAATGTTGTACCCCACAAGATTTCTTAAAAATTATTCAGATGTCCTTAAAGGATCTCTGGATCTAACTCATTGAATCTTTAAAAACTAAAAATGGGATTTTATTTTATTTATTTTTTAAAAAAGAGAAGGATGTATTTAAAAATACAGGAGCCAAATGCCTCTCCAAAGCCAAGAAACAGGATGTAAAGGCAATTACCCCACTCTTGTTCTTCTCCAGTTATTGGTTTTCAGAGATTGTATATAGGCATTATGATTTGTATCTTTGTCCTCTATGAATTTGTCTAATCCCTTGCTTTTTTAACAGGCACATAGTTGACTCAGACTGACTACAAAGAACATATTGTGGCAATGTTTGTTTATATATTAAACACATCCATGGCAATATGCTCTCTATAGTCAATTCCAGTTAATAGACTGGCCGGCACATGCTGTACCAATTCATATTGCTGAATACTGTGCAGAGATGGTCACATTTATTGCTTGTTATGATAATCTGAACTGGCTAGGCATTATCAGAAAAATGATGCAGTTGGCTGGGAGGGGGACTATCTGCCCATGCCTGCTAGTAGACATGATGGAGAACCTGGCAGCTGGGCTCCAGGAAGTTACAGAAAATGATTTGGAAGTTATGGTTGGGGAGAAAGAGCTGGAGGAAGATGAGCCACACCTGGAAAGGGGACAGAAGCAGGTCCAAGCTGGTGTGAGCCTGGTTTAGAGGAGGAAGAAGAGTGGATGAGATATTGCCCTCAACAGAGTTGGAGGCATAGGAGATGGGAGTGTGGCAGAGGAGCTGGAGATCATACAGTATTTTGTGCTCTGGGAGTGGATTATGTGCTGTGGAGAACCCCTGGACTGTGGTATGGGTCCAGACAGGTTGCTAAATGATAAGAGCATGGAGAAGGTAGAGTAGTCTTAATTGATTAGATAGGCAGGATATAAAAATAATAATTAAAAAAATCAGTCTCTAACACCAGTGCTGATCCCCTCATCCACTCCCTGCCCTATTGAGCACACCAGCCAGGCCCCACCCTTATTCAGTGAAGGTTCTGGAGGAAACACTGAAAGGAGTGCCTGTGGACCCCTGGAAGGACTTGGGGAATGAGGGAATCTGTGCACTCAGCAATACAACCCCTCCCTTAAGGACATTAGGTGGCTGGGGTCGTTTTGGAAGACCAGATTCCAGCCATGTACTGCAGAGTGCACCAGTCCAGTGGATAGATAGAACTCAGACTGAACTTAGGAAAGGACTTTGTGGGGGTTAGTGAAGTTAATTCAGCCCACCTGCGAATGGTCATGATGGGATGTGTCAGGCACCCAATCTTTCTTGTTCCCTTACTGTAATAAAGTCTAGTTCCAGCAGCCCTAAGAACTTCAACTTTATGGAACACATGGCCAAGGAGGGTCTCCCTGTCATCCCTTCCATGGGGTGGCAGCATTCCCACTGGCACAGTATTATTTATTTATTTTATTTTATTTTATTTTATTTATATCCCGCCTATCTAGTCACTTAAGACCACTCTAGGCAGCTTACAACAGGCGTGATACAATATAATTAAAACATTTAAAAAGGGGACAAACTTTGGACAAGATGTAACAGACACTAGGAGAGAGGGAAAAAGAGGGAAAATCAGGAATTGGTTGAGGGGAAGACCTGCCATAACATCAGTGTTTTTAATTGTTTTTTAAAAATACGTATGAAAAACGTATGAAAAATAGTCTTCATCTACTGAGTTCAGATGAATGTGAGACAGTGCTTATGCAAACCAAATAAGTTACGTCATGTAATTCTTTTAAGAAAGTTTACAACACATTGAATTAAAAAAATTAGGTCTTCATGTAGACTTCCAACTGCATTGATATTGTGGAATATTTTCAAGTTTGACTTAACTGAATGTAAATATATATTTTTTCTGTAATGTGGCTTTCAGCAAAGAGAAATAAAGAGATGACATTTGAAGGATTTCTAAGATACATGACTTCAGAGGACTGCATGATATTTAAAAATGAGCACAGAACTGTTTACCAAGATATGTCCCGTCCACTGTGTGAATACTTTATTTCATCTTCACATAACACTTACCTCATATCTGATCAGCTAGTAGGGCCAAGTCATCTCTGGGGCTATGCAAGGTATTTCCATCTAATTTAAATAAAATGAAATAAAAAATTAAATAACATTTAAATAAATAGTTAACAAAAAAGTTTCTGTTCTCTTGCATCCATTAGCAAAAGCATTTTAGAAATGTAAGTTTATGTACTTCACATAAACACACATAGAAAACAAAGTAGACTACAACGTAATCTGAGAGATAACGCATAACATTTGAAACTGGCTATTGATTTGAGTAGAAGGATATATATTTGCATAATAAATAATACTTTTTAGTGTCTTATCAGTGATAACATAAACATGTAGTGTCAAAGTATGGCAAAGAATTAGTTCAAGAACAGTGGGAATTTCTTAAAAAGGAAGTTCTAAAGGTACAACTAAAAACAATTCCAATAAACAAAACAAAAAAAAGACATGTATAGGAAGTGGAAAGGAGGCTAAGTCACAAAGTAAGAGTACAGACAAGTAGCAATGAATTGCAGGGATGGCATTAGGAAGGCAAAAGCTGAAAATGAGCTGAGGTTAGCTAGAGACACCAGAAGTTTTTTAAAAAGCAGGTATGCATAGCAAAAGAGAAAAGAAACAGGGGCTCATTACTCAATGGAGATAATAATAATAGTAGACAAAGAAAAGGCAGAAGTGCTCGATTCCTATTGTAGTTCAGCAGCTGAGCAGGGAGATGTGTCATCCCGCCTCCTTGCTAGATTGGTCAGTAGCACAGGGAGGCAGGACTGCTTCTGCAGTTGGCACAGCTTGAACAGCTATAGTTATGTGTGCCCCACCATGAGCGGCAAGTGGATGGCCCAGTTCTAGGGGGAGGGTCCAATCAGCCCCGCCACCTATGGCTGGGAGATTAATATGAACATCGCACTGCTAGTGGTGAGTGCTCCCACATTGGAGGCATTCAAGAGAAATGTAGACAACCACCTGGCAGATGTCCTTTGATTTGTATTCCTGCATTGAGCAGGGACTTGGACTCGATGGCCTTATAGGCGCCTTCCAACCTTATGATTCTAAATGGAAGGAGATAGACATCTATTGAATGTATTGCATTTATTTCTACTGATTTGGTTCTTAATCCAGGATTCTGCTAAATCCCAAATACACAACAATAGATAGCTGATGTAGGTACTGGAACTTCTCAGAGGGCATAGCATAGGAGAACCAACAATATATCTCTTGGGCAAAAGGGTACAAAGAGGATTTGTCACTTGAGTATAATCTAATTGTGCATAGTGTATGTGTTCATGCATTTGTTTGCATTCATGAAAATGTACATGGGTCCATTTGAGGACAAAGGTGGAGTAAAACTATTTTAAATAAATTTATTCATTTATTTATTTACAACTCACCTTTCTCCGTGAAAAGGACTGGAAGTGGCTTACAACAATTAAAAGACATATTTAAGGTAATAACAGTGAGCATATAATACCAAGACTACTATGAATCAATGAATACAATACAAAATAAAAATAAAAATAAGAAAGGATAAGAAATGAGGAGGGGACATTACTTTTTGAGTGAAACTGATAGCAAGCTTATTATGTTCTGCAGAACCTGGCAAGGCAGGTATCTCCAGGGATTTCTCTTGATTGGTTCAGTCCATGCTCTTTGTCATTACTACCATCTGCACCCAAGGCTTTGTAGTAACATCAAAATGTAGGCAGGGGACCATAAATTTGAATGTCTTCAATTTTTTTAAAGGTCCCTGGCAGTAGAAAGATTTTTTTTTTTTGTCAGAGGGAAGGGTTGCAGCTTAATTTTATTGATGTGCTCTTTTATCTTTATACAAATATTTAAAATAAGCAGGGATATTCAGCTCCTAAGTCCCACACAAATTAGTAGGACTTATTTCCAATAAAGGATATGAATACTTTTCATCCCTAGAATGGAAATTGGCCACAGGGCAGCAGATTTTTAAGAAATCATGTTATCTTGGTTATCAATATTTTTTAAAAAGAAAACAGTAATTAGGTCAATCCATACAGTTGTTTGTATTGTACTGTTTGGCCTGCCTGTTTTGCACATGGTCGTCCCTTATGCAGCTCTGTTCCTTTCCATATGAGAAGAAAATGCCCAAAGCCTAGCTTCCTAGACGTATAATAAAAATGAAAAACATGGGCTCGTGGTACCTATAAGCCTAAAAAATTATTTCAGTATGAGCTGTTCTAGACTGTAGTCCACAGAAGCACAAACTGAAATCTGTTAGGCTTAAAGGAGCCAAACACCTTATTTTGTTTTTGTTATATACTCTGGAACAAATTAATAGAGCTACCTCTTTGAAAATTCCTCTTAGGCATGTAAGCTTTGGATACACATTTGATGGCATGTAAGCTTTGGGTACACAATTTCATGATGTCCACTTTCCCCACAGCCCAGTTGGGTGTGGAATATATTCTGTTTTAACAACTTCTAGTATGCTCACAAATAAAAATATCTTTCTTTGCTAAGTTTCTTAGTTGCCTCTCTCTTCCCCCCCCCCCACACTACCTCTTTTAAGTGCTCTCATGAAAGGGTGCCGCTGCCTGGAAATTGACTGCTGGGATGGACCAAGCAAAGATCCTGTTGTTTATCATGGACATACCTTAACAAGCAAAATTAGCTTTAAGACTGTCATCCAGGTGATCAACAAATATGCTTTTTTGGTATGTATATGTATGACAGATCTAAAGGTAACCAGACATGATCATCAGTTGAACGTTTCTTCAGAGTTGCTACATATCTAATTGTTTATGTTTCTGCAACTATCTTAATGTCTTTTCATCTTAAATGTGTTATGATGTTGCTTGCTTGGTTTTACTTGGGAGCTACTTTGATCATGCATTTAAATTGAGTGGAAAGTTAGCAGCTATATCTTGAATATGTGTATACATCTGGTTTGTCTGTGGGAAAAATAATTAGTAGAACTGAAAACATGTGGTCTCACCTTTATTCTTAATTCAGTTTGGTCTATAAGAGATGGGTTAAATGATAGACCAGCCTAATTAACATTGTGCTACCACTGGGTGAGAAATATTTTTAAACTGTATTGCTTTACTATCCCTGGATGAGACAATTCCTATGGCAGAAATATTGTCTTCTATTCCTAAACACTGACTGAGCAGCAGTAAATCTGGAGAGAGGGGAAAAACACAGGGAGACACAAGGAAAATAAATTGGATATTAATTAGACATTTAATTATGCTTCAAGGAAGGAAGTTTGGTATTAGTTTGTTGTTATAAACTTAAGAATCTCCTGAAAACATTATTGGCAACAACTCTAGGAAACTAAAATTTGTTTATGCTACTTGTAACAGCTATCTAAGGTGTTGATAAAAAGCCTAGAATCAGTGACCTTGAACACTTTATGGCTGTTTGGAATTGGAAGGGAAAAATGCTCCCCCCCCCCTTTCCCTTCTGAGGCTTGCCGAAGGCTGGAGAAAGAGGAGGGAACTTTAAAAAGGGTTTTGGATAAGCCTCTGCAAATGCTGATTGCTGCGCAGAGGGATCCGGGCGAGTCCTCCCATGGTGCAAGGTAAGCCCCGGGGCACCCCCAAAGCCAACTCGTGTGGTTTTGCGGCACCCCCGCCAGGGCTCTGATGGTGCAGGAGAACCCATCAGAACCCTGGCAGGGGGGCCACGAAACCACCTGTGCCTGCTTTAGAGCACTTTGTAGGCTTTTCCTGCGCTGTCAGAGAACTGGCGGGCCTCCAGAGCTGGCGATCGCAGCGAGGGGACCCCCCGCCAGTCCTCTCATGGTGCTTCCCCAGCTCCCTACCCCTTAAGTTCCTGAAAAAAAAATTTCCCCCTAGGAAGGCATTAATTAATTTTCAGTGTATTCCTATGTGAATTTTGGTTTTGCAAGACAATGTTTTCTCAAGACAGCGATTTAAGCAGAATGGATTAACATCGTCTTGCAAGGCACCACTGTAGTAATTAATGAACATACAATAGATGTGATATTGACATAGACATGATCGAAAATGAGGAGATAGAAATGGCTAAACAATTATATAAAGAAAATCTGTATAAAATGCTTTAAATCACTGGTTCTTAACCTTGGGTTACTCAGGAGTTTTGGACTGCAACTCCCAGAAGCCTTCACCACCAACTGTGCTGGCTGGAGTTTCTGGGAGTTGCAGTTTAAAAACATCCGAGTAACAAAGGTTAAGAACCACTGCTTTAAATAACATTTATTATGTGTTAAGAACCTATTTAGTTATTATTGATATAAAATACAAAGTTCGTCAGTTAAATCACCTCAAAAATTATATAAATTTGGAACCGGAATTACTTTTATTAGATATGTTATTAGAGGACTTTGAGAACATTGCATACTATGAGAGCAATATTATGATAGTAGCCAATATTGTATACTAAAATATACACATGAATGGTTTAAATGTTTTTAAAATGTATAGATTTTGAAGGGGTAACTAAGAAGACACCAAGATGCAAAAGACAAAATAATTATAAGTAACCGATGTAACAAAATGTTTAACAAGCACAAATTGAATGTAGATAGATTGAAAAACTAATAAAAAATTTTTTTTTAAAAAGAAAAGGGTGAAGGAGGAGAATCCACATTATTCTGTTCTACCAGTAGAGTGGGAAGAATATTTTAAGCAGCAAATATACTCGAAGAGAAATGATTCTTGTAGTTTTGGAAATGAATTGCTATTTTGGTTTGTCCTTATAGTGGAATAGTAGTGATTCAGCAGCACTGTAAATTGTTCATGCAGAAGCAACCTGTGATAACACAATTTTGTTTTGTGTCTTTATTGTAAATTACTGTACATACTTTTTACAGTGTTTATTGTTTTAATTTTAACATGTTCTTATTCATATGACTAGGAGTTATACTAGCCTTGAAATTGTACTTTCAGGTATCTGATTATCCTCTGTTACTGTCTTTGGACAATCACTGCAGCCCTAAACAACAGGAAGTAATAGCAGATTATCTGACAAGTATCCTTGGTGACAAATTGGTTACATCTACAGCTGATGATAGGATACCAACTCAGTTACCTTCCCCTGAGGTAGGAACAATGCATTTTTATCTTATAAAAGACAAAGTTGAAATGCTGTAATTGGTATACTTATTTCTTGGGGAAAAAAGCTTCTCCCTACAAAACAGAAATAATTATAAATATTTGGGATGGACCAAAATAATGGTAGAAAAGTGCACTGATTATTTTTACAGGTGTAAGTTAAAATATAATATTCTGTTGCTTAGCATAGTAAGTCATAATTAGAGTAGGCCTATGAATCAGTGGGGATTTAGTGAGTCAACTCCTCTCTATTTCATTGATTCAGTGAACCTATTCTAGATGTGACTTACTGTGCTAAGCAGCAGAATCTTCACTGTAGTGTTAAAATCTAAATTATAATATGGGATTGTAAGATCCCATAGAATTCCAGAAATGAACTAGTGTTTAGGAACTAGTGTTCAGAAATGGAATTATGGGTAGCAGCAAACATGCATATTTTCTCAACCATTTTTCACTTTGCCAGCGGTTCCAAATCATAGCCAATATCATAGTCACAATATAAGGGCAATCACATAAGCATTTCCCCACTTTAGCTGGCCCCTATTGCATAACTGATCATGCAGCAGTTTCACAACCAACCTCATAAGCAGTAGGAGACCTGGGATGCTGAGGGAAACCTGCCAGAACTTGGAGAATGCTTAGGCAATTGCTCTTCCATTATCATGTGACACAGGTGGATACTGGACAAAAGTTCTTTGGGAGATCATATAGAAAAATAATAATTTCACTTAAGAATACTGGAATAGTAATAAAGGGTTTAAACAGTATGTGTGAGGCTACAGACCACATGTTTTAAAATCTGTTTTGAATACTCAAGGGTAGTTATTGAGAACTGAAACCTCTGGATGCTTCAAAAATTCTTTCCACACAAATATCTTTCCCATGTGTTGGAGGCTGTTTTTCTCAGCAACACTATATTCACTAAAATTGTGTAACAAAGAAATGAAAGATTTTCTGTGTTCCCAGCCACAGAGTAATGATAAATCACAATCACACATATTGGAAAATTCAAGCTCCTAAAAGCATTATATCATTGTGTTTTCTCTTTATACTTCAAACTTCTGGTACATATATTTTCTTCTTAATGGAGGCACACTGCTTAATTTCTATTTGTTTATTTGTGTACTAACTTGAAATTCAAAATAAAATTCTTGGCCATGGAGAAGGTAATGCGGGTTTCAACAGAGCAGAACTAGCCTCAGAGTAGACTACCCTTTTTTTGTCTGTCTCATCAGTTGGCACGTAGTCTCAATTATTCATTCTGAGACACTGGTAAGGGAAAGAATAAAAGGTTCCATTTGCTCACAGTTCAGAACAGATAAAAAAGGCATACAGTAGAAAAATGACTGGTTACAGAAACAGGGCTTAGCTTACTACTGTATATTATATATTAGTGTTCTAGGGCAGGAATAAGCATCTGGTGTTGGTCATGGAGCTGTATTGCCAGTCTCACCTCAGGTACATTGCCTGATGCTAAAGCTAAATGGTATAGTAGCAATACCTTATTTGAGGCAGTAGCAATGTCACTGAGACTCCTGTGGGCTGTCTGTTGTTCTTCCATTCTAGGGTTTCAATAATGTCTTGTTAACTGACAACATTGGTCATCCTGAGCCATGGATCATAGATATAGTTGCACTGTCTGCAACTTAACTTTAGTCTTCATATACTGTATTTTTGAGCATTTGTAACCAGTTCATTTGTATCCTCTTTAGAGGAGGATATTTTCTAGAGCAGAAGTCCCCAACCCCGTGGCCTGAGCCGGACCAGGCCGCAGAGACAGACCTCCCCCCCACCCCTGCGTGCACTCCCCCCCCGCACAGCCCCTTTGTGCATGCACCCACGCACGTTCTCCCCCACCCCTTTGTGCATGCACACAATGCCCCGAGTGCCATCCTGCCCTTTGCACATGTGCGTGAGCACGGGGGGGTGCCCTGCCTCCCCAACCAATCTGCGGGGTTAAAAAGGTTGGGGACCACTGTTCTAGAGCTCATATTTATCCATATCCATGTGGTGGAAATACCAAGTGGTGAATCTAGTGGATACAATTACCTTGTTAGAGAAATTTATCACAAATTCTACAACACTACAGCCATTTTTCGGACCTATCAACCCAAGAAGAGTAGTAATCATGGTTTGTTTAGTACTATTATGTATACAGTATAAAGTGGTGCCTCGACTTACTAACATCCTGACCTACGACCATTAGGACCAGCTACGGCCGCAAAATTTTGCTTCGACTTGCGGCCGGAACTTTTAGTTGTGAACAGAAAAGGGCAAGGAAAAAAGGTGGGAAATTCAAATTGCTTACTGTAGGTGGTGACGAGGCTGCTTCTTTGTAGCTTTTTTGCCCCAGCAGTTAGAGAGTGTGTGATCGGAGGAGGCTGCCTGGTAAGGTAAGGTGGTGCTTTCTGCTTTTAAAAAACTGTTCTGGGTGTTTTTGCAGTGTGGTTTTGAGCTGAGGGTGTTATGTTTCTGTGCTGTGATGTGTCTTGCGGGATTTCTTTGGTTTTTTTGGGGGGGGGTTCCCCCATTTCTGATGGGTCTTGGGGTTTTTTCTTATTTTTTGGGTTTCCCCCCCATTTCCGATGGGTCTTGGGGAGTTTGTTTGCTTTTTAGTTCCCCCCCCATTTCCGATCTTGCACGATCTGCTTCATTTCTTTTGGCTTTGTTTTCTTTGCATTTGCAACGCGTCTTGCATGGTTGATTAGTTTTTTGTTTTCTTTGCATTTGCAATAGGTCTTCCATGCTTGATTGCTTTTTTGCTTTGTACACAGTGTACAAGTTAAGTATGTCCCTTTTCATCTGAACTCAAAATACTGTACTTGAACCATATATCCATGATAGCCTTATTTTGCTGGGACTCAGCTTTATATCCGTAATTCTCTACTGATCCATTTTGCAATTAAAAACAATACAACCTAGCATCTGTATGATTAAATCCATTCCATAAAAGCTCTTGCATTGTACTCCTGTGTAGATTTTAATGGTACACAATAGCTAAAAGAATATGAACATGATTGTCAAACCTGTATGTTTAAACTGTGCCAAACACCAAGCATGCTAGTGTAAATAAAGAGTCATCAAATTTAATAGGTATGTCAAAATTTTGCACATTCCTGAATTGCCTAAACGATATCAGCAACAAGAGCTCTTGCTTAAGTCATGTGTGCAATTTATTTTTGGACATTAATCCCAGTATAAGGTATCACAAAAATTATATGGTTGTGTGGCATTCACCCTAAGTTGCATGCATTATTCATAAGTTACATGCTAATGTGGTTGTGAAGCGGGGCCAAAGAGGCTGCTGAAGAGGCGGAACCTGGGAAAGAGGAGTAGAGTTGGAGTCAGAGACAGCTGGAGAAGAGAACAGTTTGGGGGTTTGAGGCAGAGAGTTTTTAAGGAGTGATTAGGCAGTGATTAGTTAAAGTCTGACCAGTATTAATTAATATAGAAGAGAGTACAGTGGTGCCTCGCAAGACGAATTTAATTTGTTCCACGCTTAATGTCGTCTTGTGAAAAATTTGTCTTGCGAAACACATTTTCCCATAGGAATGCTTTGAAATCTAATTAATGCGATCCTATGGGCAAAAAAAAGAACAATGTCAAATTTGGTTTACAAAGAGTTTAAGTGCTCTTTAAAGCCATACATATTGTGCAGATGATTTCAAAAAATGCAATAAAAAAACGTTAACTTTTTAAACATCATAGAAAAACATTTAAAAATCAGCAAACATGGGGCAGGTCATCAATCCCATCACCAAAATCATTCGTATTGCGAGTTTTTCATCCCACAAGGCATTTGTCTTGCGAGGTACCACTGTAAAGTAAAATGTTGAAGCTGTGTGGAACTTTAAGAATCTGCTTAAGAATTATACCTGAAACCACGTGTAATCAATAAAGCTGTTTCTGTTAAAAGTCAGTACTGGATGTACCTTAATCTTTCATAAGGAATAAGTTGATAAAGTGATCAACTGGTGGAAGCGTGTCAGAGGGCATGTTGAGATACCTTTGTGAGTCTGTGTTTGGTGAGACAAGCAGGGGCCACAGGGGTAAATGGCACTAGCTGTTTGTGAGATGAACTTTTCTAAGCCAAATAAGACTCCTCTAGAATTACTATCTAATTACTGTGTTGACTCTGTCCAATTCTGGTTTTGTCCAGATGGGGTGATTTGAAGCACTCTGTTGCATAGTCTCTATACTATGTCCTTACAGTTCATAACAGTACTGTTTGCTCTGTGCATCCACATATATATCCAGGGTCTTTTATTCTGGAGTGTTTTGGTACATCTGTTCACACAGAGGATGAAAAGCATATGGCTGTTTCTGAGATGAACATTATCTCACAACACATCATCCCAACTCTTTCCCCATTCTCCTTCTCCACCACCAGTTACCCCACTCTATTCCCACAACCTTTCATCATGTTTGTTTACTGCCTCTCTTCACCTACCCCCTTCCCACCCAGTCACGAAACTAGAGTTTTGAGAACAATCAGTATTTCTTTTTGTTGTACAGTATCTCTACGTTTATTGCAAGTCTTTTTAAAGATATGCTTTATAATACATTTTATGTTAAAGTGATTCATTCATTGTAATCTCCTTGGTTAGCACTAAATGTACTGGTGGTGGGGACCAAGTTCACCCTGTTTGCACCCAAAACTGATCACCATCACTTTCACAGCATTCTGTTAGACACACCTTTTTCCCACATACCTGTTTAAAAATAAAATTGTGATAATGTTTTGCTGGCTTTTGTGTATGAGTGTCCTATATATCATATTATTTATTATATGCAGCCAAGTTATTTCCAACATCTGGTGAAACTGAATTGCTGACTTTTAAAAGGTCCAGTCATTAACAGCCCTGCTTAGGTCCTGTAAATAAAAGGCTGGAACGTCTTTTATTGAGTCTATTAATTCATGTTAGTTCTTTAGTTCAACCTAAGCCACTTTGTTCTTTGCTGTCTAGCATTAAGCTCCTTGCAAAGTTGAATTTAAAAATGTCTATTGTTATTCATACTTTAGAGGATAATCCCAATGGAAGGCAGGGGAAATAAAAGAGGTTAGACACTCTTAACACCTTGTGTTATTGGAGACATCAAAAACTACATGGCCATCACAAGTCCAGTGTCAAACTGTAACATATTGTACTTGTATAAATTAGGACACAGCAAAAGACAAACAAACAAAAAAAACTCCAATAGCACTCCAGGCTGAAAATAAAGATCTAGCAAGTTGCAAGAAAAGATTGACTTTTAAAAATCAGCATGAACAAAATATTGTCTGAACATCAGAGAAAATAGCATGCGGGACCCGTAACTTACAGGGGGACAAATGTCAATTTGGGCAGGCCCTCTATTAAAACCAGTAGACTTTGGTGCAGCAATTGTTATTATCAATTTTATCCTACAGGTCTTTTGTAACATCTGCCTATTGTATCATACGCCTATAAGTCAGTGTTCCCAAACCTATTTCAGACCACCGACTGGTTGAGGGGTATGGACTCCATGCGTGGACCGGTTGGGGGTCGGGGGCACCCCTTGCGCTCATGGGTGGGCGTGTCAATATTGTGCACATGAGTGACACACCCCTCACACTCATGCATGACATGCCAACCTCTTGGGCAAGCTGGGGGCAGGCACGCTTGCAAGGGAGAGTGGGCATGCTGTCAGGGCTGCGTGGAGCCCTCCTCGCCTTGCCCCATCGCCTTGCACTCCCAGCTGACAGAGCCCAGGAAAAATTCAAAAGACCTCCCCCCGGGGTTCTGCCTCCTGCCGTGGGGTCTCAGCAGCATGGAAAGACCCCGCGGCTGAAGACAGAGCCGGGGAGTGAAGGCAGGCTTGCAAGGGAGAGCGGGCGGGCTGTCAGGGCTGTGCAGAGCCCTCCTCACCTTGCCCCATGGCCGTGCGCCAACAGAGCCTGGGAAAAATTCAAAAGACCTTCCCCCCCAAAAGCTCCTGCCTCCTGCCATAGGGTCCCTCCGTCCTGCTAGCTTTCCAGCTGGGCTCCAGGAGACCACACCACCATTAGAGCAGGCACGCAAGCATGCACACAGGCACAAACAACCATTGTGGGGGTGAGTGTGTGTGTGTGGGAGAGGTTCTGCCTTGGCGGTCCGGTCGGGCTTAAGCCACAGACCGGCAGTGGCCGTGGACCGGGGGTTGATGACCTCTGCTATGATACACAAGCCCTCATAAAGAGAGGAGCACTCTAGTCCCACACCTCAACTCTTGGCTTTTCTCATGTGAAAGCAATGAATCTGAAGAGGAAAGCCAGTTTTATCTGTCGAGGTTCCACATGTGAATCAGAAAAATAAAATTTCTATTTATGAAGGAAGGTGAGGCTAGAGTGTTTCGTGTCTTGCACCTGGGTACACATATTTCTGTAACACCTGAATAGGGTTACTGTCTCATTGCCTGAAGATGCACGGAGTAGTGTCCACAAAGAAAATTTTGATCAGCAACAAGCTTGGGATTTATGTGGATAATACTACTGCTGCTGATTCTAGCACTTTACAGAATAATATAGATAATGGTGTACAATTCATTTATGTGAACAAAGACTATTTGAAGTTCTGTATAAATATGGAATCCTCCTATATGTACCTGTACGTGTCATCATGAGGTCATACTCCAAGTACCCCATAATTCTAATGGGATACTCCATGTAGCCCATCATTCTCTTGTAGTGGCCCTGATCCTACTGGAGAATGGAGAATCATGTAGTATTTAATGTTTTGGTCTAATGCATGCTGCTTTCAGAGATTGTTTGACTGTATGGCTTATGTGATTTATGGCACTTAATGTCAACTTAATTATGTTCACAGTCACTGAAATTCAAAATCATTATAAAAAATAAGAAACTTGGAACACTTGAAGAAACACTTGCAAGAAAGGATACAGATAGCCATGGCCAAATAGGGGAATTTGAAGAAGAGGAAACGAGCGATGAGGAGCAAGATGATGATCCTTCACACCCTAAGCAACCCCTTCTTAAGAAGAGACATGCACATTGGAAAGGTTCAGGTCCGCCTTGGAAAAAAAAGAGAGTAAGTACACTTAGACGAAACTAAGATTCTGAATCTCAAAGGTTTTTCCTTAATTGAAGAATTTATCTTTAGAGAAGATTTTTCTGATCAAGAAGCGTCTTCAAAGAAAGATTCTTCACTTCTTAAAACTGGTTTATACAACAAGTTGAATGAACAAAAAGTGTGATTAATATTTCTCTCAAATTGATGTGCAATTTCTCACAGTTCCACAGTTCTTTCTGTTAGTAATATGGAAACTTTGTAGATCTATGAGTAGATAGGATGATTTTCTTTTGTCTTTTAAAGTTTAAATAAAGCTGCTGCATAGTTCAGTGAGTTGGAAATGTGGCTGTGAAGCCAGACATCAGAAGTTCAGTTCTCAGTGCTTCCCAGAAGAGCTAGCCTATGCATCCTTGGGCACGCTGCAGAATCTCAGGATGCTCCCAGAAGAAGGGAATGGTAAACCACTTCTGAGGAGAAAACCCTGGAAAGGGTCACTATAGGTTGGAATTCACTTTATGTCATGTCACGTCATGTCAAATAAAACTGTCTAAAATAGTATTTTTGTCGCTTTTTAATCTTCTGCTTTACTGGTATACTGTCTGAACCTGACTGTTGCTTCAGCTTTGGTGTTTTGCTTGGGAAAGCAGGCATGTGCTTTTGTTTTGTTAGAGTATGCTATCTGTTGCTGTTTTGAGTTAATGATATCCAAATGAGAGCAAGAATGAGTATGGAAAAATCCATTTCATCATCTTTATGAGACCGAAGAAGGAAATGAATGAAAACAAGTAGACCAAGATTTTATATTCACTTATATAGGCAATGTTAGATATGCAAGTATTTGATTTTTTTCTTATCACTCTCAAAACTTCAGTAGACAACATTCTTACATAAATTACATATGCTGAAGAAATAATTTCAGAACTTCAGGACTGTCTTGTAAGCAACATGACAGATCTAATGCCCTAGCAAAATATTGAGGAGACATTTTAGACCAATGAAAACACCCTGGAAGCTCCATCTATATCAGTTGTTCCCTAACCTGAGTCCCCAGATGTTCTTGGACTGCAATTCCCAGGAGTCTTCACCACTAACTATGTTGGCAAAGGCTTCTGGGAGTTATAGTCCAAGAACATCTGGGGACCCAAGGTTTGGCACCACTGATCTAGACAATATGAGGGATTTGTATGAAGGCTGAGGCAACCCAGTCTGTTTCTTAGATGGAAATATTTTTAAGAGAAATACTCAATCTTTGAGGAGAGTACCACCATGAGATACTACATTGTTTTCCTATCCCAACCTACTCTTCTTAAATGGCAAACATTTACCTCCACTTAATTTTTATACCATTCCTCCTTTGGACATTGTATTACTGTAGTCTACAACAAGAGATGACTTGCCAAGGTGTTGTCAGGATCTTTTTTTAAAAAAATGCTAGTGTCTACACACTTCTCGAAGTAGTTATTTTGTACCTGCTTCTTCTTACTATAACTACAAAAATTTAGACACCATGCTGACCATTTGGACTTTCTAGTGTTTACACTGAAGTTTCCTTTTCTTAGCCCTGAAAAATATGTGTTAAACTTTGAATCTTGAGCAACTATTGGCACAATGTATGTGATTTTTCTTGAACATAATCATGAGAGTTAGAAACTTATTTTCTAAAATATTACATTATCTTTTCTATATGCTTTGCCTGGAAAATGTAACAGTGGTCACTCCCTATATACATGATTCTGCTATAAGTCCATTAGACAGAGAAGCAGAAGCAGCCTTTGATTATGCTTTAAATCCAGCTCTGTAATTTGTTGAACATTGTACCTAAGAATCTATTGGTGGATGTTTATAGGTTCTCCAATTCCCTTTTCCTTCTACATTTTGTCTACCAGAATATAAATGTATGGGCAGGACTGTGTTATTTCTGATCTTAGGGCCTCTATACTTGGCGGATCGCCTACTTCCACCAAGTTCTACCCGTGTCACTCGCGTGAGTCAGGAGGTGAGGCTGAGGAGCCTAACGCCGAGGGAGGCCCGGAAAGAAAAAACAAGAAATCAGGCCTTCTCGGCGGTGGCTCCTCGCCTCTGGAATAACCTTCCCCCTGACATTCGCGCGGCTCCCTCGCTGGGTATTTTTAAAAATCAATTAAAAACACTGATGTTTCGGCAGGCCTTCCCTTCAGCCATTCCCTGATCCTTCTTCTTTCTCCTCTCCCCTGTCTTTGTCCCTTTTCGTTTAAGTTTTCCCCATATTTAAAATTGTCTTAAGTCTATTGTAATTGCACTTGTTGTAAGCCGCCTAGAGTGGCCTTAAGTGGCTAGATAGGCGGGATATAAATAAAACAAACAAACAAACAAACAAACAAATAAATAAATAAATCTTTGTTAAACCACTATTGGAGCTTTCTACATTTAAGAGCAGGGTAAAAGAGTTTTAAATGGAAAATAAATACTTGTATGATTTCCACAATTCTAGCAACAAGCATGTACGATTGGCTAGTATAATAATCTCTAGGTACATGGTCAAATAATTGAATTGAAGTTGGAATCAGGATATTTTGGTGTGCATTTCATGCTTTTAACTGCTGTGTTACATTTTATTGAGATTCTTAATCTAGCGTTATTTCTATACTGTGAACCTTTTCAGCCCATTTCTCTAAATGTGACATCTCAATACAAAGATGAATCTGTCACTTCAGTATTTTCTAATAAAACGTCTTTATTGTTTAACAAGGTTTCGTGGGCTTTTTCAACAATAACATCAGCCTCTGATTTCACAGAAATGGTGCCATATTTATCTTCCTTAAACAACAAAAAGTTCCCCTTCCTATTGAAGGGTGAAGAATTCAAAACCAGTTTATAACTGTCAATCTCTGATAAGAAGTCCCCTGGAGATACTGTCTTTTGCTTCAGGGTGAGGGGTAAAAGATCCAGCCTACCTATGGCTCTCAAACCTTGCCTGGCATAGGTCTCAAATTGGGACGAAATGGACTGGCTCTACGGGGTCTCCCACCTCTCTCTCTCTACTTTTGCTTTCTTTCCACTGAGCCTCCCTCTGTATCCATGCTTTATATCTTTCTCTCTCCTGTCTCTTCTGTCTTGCCCCCATAGGGTGGCTTCCTATATATCTGCCTTTTCCACTCCTTTTCCATGTACTCTTCAGGAACTCTAAATTCCACCCATTCTCCTGTCCAGGGGTCTTCTTGAACCAAATCCACTAAATCCTCCTTCTCTTCTACCTTCTCCATCCAGCATGCTTCCTCTTCCCCTTCCTCCTCCAACTGCCCCCTCTGCCTCCCTACACCTTCCTTTTCCTCTCTTTTCCCCGCGTAAATGGCACCCCCTATTGCTTCTGTCCCTATGCCTAGTAGCCCTTGTAAGTCTTTCATTATATCTGCCAGCTATCCCTCGTGGTTTCCTCTTGAAGAGACCGGCAGTACACCTCTCAGGCCACCTCAGGTTGGTCTCAGCCTCACATATGCTCAATATTAAACAACTATATTCTATATTGAATTGTTTGTTCATGGATTGTATCTATCAAGGGTATTCTCAGCATTAGTTTGGCATAGGGCAGACTAGACGTAGGTGTCTTGTTCACAAATGGGATGATCCCACTGGCAAGGTCTGAGTACTGAGGGTCAGATACCAGAACAAAGCAGACAGTACCTGGAGGTATGAAGAGATGTTATCACTAAGAAGGCCACAGTCCCAAAGCTAAACTTTATATGGCTGAGATGCTGGAGCCCCACCCAGAGCTCATCTGCAGACATTTGAGTAGCTGGTTTCTGTAGGGAGAAGAACAGCTGCAGAATTTTGAGTACTCATGTCTTTGGGAAGAATTGCTTTTCCCTGGGGCTGTTCTCTACTATCTATCCTTCTCACTAGTCTTTAGTTGCAGCTGAGCAGTTTGCCTGGGGGCTTCTAATCAGTTTTATGTCACCAGTCTGTGGCATTCTTGTGGGCTAAGAGACGGGTCTAGCCACCTCTTCTGACTCTGAGAGCAGCCTTTATCTGGGGGTCCAGCCTCTATGGCTGCTTAGGATCTAGGGCTTAGGATGCTTGTAAGTTGCTCACTCACTTGATGGTCAGAAGGTTTCAGGCCCATGCTGTGACAAGAAGACCAAAGAGAGCCAAATTCAAATATTCACTGTTTTATGCAATCCATTGCACTAGTTATTATCTCTTAGCCTAATCTACCTCTCAGGACTGTTGTAAATATAAGATATGGTAGATAATTCTGTACATCAACCAAGCTCTTTAGAGGAAAAAGTGGGATATAAATGTATTTACATGTCTTGTTTCTTTCGAAATTATTTAGCAGTCTAATATAAGTATTTTATTGACTGTTGGAAAGATCATTTTAAGCTGCTTCAGTTTTCCTTCATATTATTTTTAGATGAAGAAAATAAAGATTGCCTTGGCACTGTCAGAACTGGTGATTTATGGCAAATCTCGAAAGTTTGTAAGCTTTGAAGAGTCAAGAGAAAAGCAGTTATTTTATGAAAATAATTCAATTAGTGAGGCAAAAGCCCGAAAGTTGGCAAAACAGAAAGGTAATTCTTAGAATTCAGTCTGGTAAAACTGATAATGGTGCTGTTCTCTCTTGCTTAAGCCATCAGAACTGCCAATAAATTTTATGAGGCAGCTTGTCATAGACTGGCAGCTTGTGAAATGTTTCACATGATGATTCTGCACACACTGTGATTTCTGTGGCTAAAACTTCATGTTAATTGGCCACGAGCTACTACTTTTTATCCAAGCTAAGCAATATAAGAAAATATGAAAGATAAATAAATGTAATCTCGCTCTTGTTCTTTTAAACCCCAAGAAACTAATATTGTTCCTTGACCTTAGTTCAAACATAGTTTGAGCTATACAGGCTACAGAACTGTTTTTCATCTCTTGCTCTGTAAAAAATGAGGAATGGAGCTTTCCGCTTTTTTGGACTGCAACTTCAAGAACTGTCCTAGGCAGAATTCTTGGAGATACAACTAAAAACAGATTACACAGCAGCTTTAACTACCTACAGTTAAGGGGTCATGGGATAGGTAGTTTTCTGAATGCTGACCTTATAGAGCATGATGGGCAGCAAGACCCTCTGCCCCAGGAGCCTTCTAACTCGCATAGAAACTCATATCTCCCAGGTACCATCTGGGCAGTTTTCTTTTTCTTGAAAAGTGAGTAAGAGCAGTGAAAGCCACATGTAATAAGTGAATGGTTCTCTGTAAACTTCTGTGTTTTTTCTCCTATGCCTCACAGAATTCTGCCTAAAGAAATTCTAAGTTAATTCTGGGAGTTGTGGACCAAATAATCCACATCCCTAAAAATTATTCTCAGCCATTTTCCATCCTTCTAATTTTGTTTACTGTTATCTGGCTATTGCTAAATCTGGCTAAAATGAAGTCAGATATTTTTCTAAATTCATGTTAAGAACTCTGTTTTAATCAGGATTTTCTGGAATAAATCTGACCAGATACAATTTAATCAGGATTAGCATGTGTATTGTGTTAGGACCTCATACTGCCCAGAGACCTCTGGGTAGAGTGGGTGTTTCTAGTCACAGGATTAGCATGTGTATTGTGGTAGGACCTCATATCTGTCTCATTCACTCTTGTTCAGTGCTCCACAGTAGAGTTGGGATAACAGAATTCTTATGACCCTAAGGCTTGCTTTGATCCATGAAACCCTGTGTCCACTGAGCATGACGCAGACATCCAATCTTGAATTTGTGACTAAGAGGCATAAAAATATTTTTAAAACAAAGATATGAGGTCCTAACACATTACACATACAGAAGCAGGTGATATCTTTATTAGACCACTAAAAACCAAACAGTGAACTTTCATCGGTCTAGTCAATTTAACTCAGGCTGTGCACCAGAGTTTTGTGGATGGTGCAGAAAAACTATAAATGAGAGTCCAAAAAAAAATCATGGTAGGTGGTTGTGCTTACTCACTCTTGGATGTGTGCTTTACAGACTACACCACAGGTGTAGTTGGTTGGATATTACTCTTCCGCTCCTCAAATAGAGGAGCATGTGCCCCCCACCCCAAATAGCCTTCTTTTGAAACTGCGAGTGTCTGTTTGGCTCAGGAAACTGGGGAAGACAAAAACCCGCTGGATCTCAATCATAGAATAATGGAGTTAGAAGGTGCCTGTAATGCCATTGAGTCCAACCATCAGAGAATTGGGTTAAAATTTAGTCTGTCCATTAGGCAAAGCAAGTTGGAGCCAAATTAATAATATTACCTACTGCTTGGAAGTAGGTGTTTCCTTCAGTTTACAAACGTGCTTGGCTGATGTTGTGGTGTTGGTAACTGGGGGATGGGAGGACTTTTTATGGTATACTCATAATCTTCAAGATATCGGTGTATGGCCTGATTTGACTCATGAACTCTCCCTGATAGTTTCATTTTCTTAGTGGTCTAATAATAAAGATATCATTTTTTTCCTTCTTTTGCATTGTATAAAGATCACATGGCTTTGTTTCCCCCAGAACTATCGGTATTTAAAATATGCATACAATTCATTGGCTTTCATCAAATGAGCCGTTTTTCCCCCACCTTGTATCAATAACAACCTGAAAATGTTTCTTTTTAGCTAATGAATTTGTTCAACATACAGTCCGATTCCTTACAAGAATATACCCTAAAAGAACCAGAACTAACTCTTCCAATTATAATCCTCAAGAATTTTGGAATGTTGGATGCCAATTAGGTAGGTGATTTATGTTTATTGTTGTAGTACAGAACATGATTTTTTTTTTTGCTAGTTTTCAAAGGGAAAGGCCAGAAAACTGAACATTAATGTTTCAGAAGAGGTAGCCATGTTAGTCTGTGCTAGCATGTCAAGCAAAAATAAAATTAAAAAAAGACAAAGATGTTGTGGCACCTTAAAGACTAACTGCTGTATTTTAATGTGAGCTTTCGTGAACAAGTCTACTTCAGATTGCTACTTCTGAAAAAGTGGACTTGTCCATGAAAGCTTACATTCAAATATAACAGTCTTTAAGGTGCCATGTTTTGTCCTCTTAATTTTTTTAATTTTTGTTTTTGCATGACATGTTTACATTAATGTGTTAACTTTCATGTGCCATTTCTTAGCTCAGAAATGTGTGAGCAAAACAATTGTTTTAACAGAATGGCATGAAACTGCTGAAGATGTACTGTAATGATACTGAGATAAATCACAGACAGATATCTCAAACCCACTATCTCAAGTCCATAAATAGAAGGACAATATATACACGGAAGAAATTGCAGGGATGAAATATAAGATTAAAATAACACTTTTTTGTAGTAACAGGGGCCTTAAAAGCTAACTACTGCTAAAGTAGTAAGACATACATAATACAGCTTTACATTTGGTAAAAATTACTGTAGTATGTCTCCCACAAGCAATTGCAGTACAGTGGTGCCTCACTTAACGAGTGCACCATTTAACGATTAATCCGCATACCGATGCGGATTTTGCGATCGCTTTTGCGATCGCATTACGATGTTGCCTATGGGGTGGCTTTTTGCTAAACTAAAACTTGCATTAAACTAAGTTTAATGCGTTCCAATGGCTTTTTGCTTTCCGTTTAACGAAGTTTTCACATAGCGAAGGTTAATCCGGAACGGATTAACCTCGCTATGCGAGGCACCACTTAATGGTTGGAAACAAGTACGGTTCTTTTAATTATGAAGAGGATTCAAAAACAGCAGTTTATGCGTAGGAAGAAAATCTGAGATGATTGTTGAAGTAAGAATGTTATTCTTCATGTTAGTTTTCTTAGCACAATAGAGTAATAAAAAAGCCCAACATATATCTAAGGTACTGTGTAAGCACGAATGAATTAGAAATATGTAATACTGTATAACAGTACTTCTTTCAGGCAGGTTTTTTAAAGGCAGTGGTAGGAACAACAAATCGCTTAGCCCATTTTAGCAAAACTTTAGGTCAGACTTCTTCCCTTAACAGAAATTCCTCCCCACACTCCAGGAAGAGATCATCATGAAAATGGCAATGAATCATGAATGATAATTTTTTAACATTATTTTGTGGTAGTCTCAAATTTTGAATTAATATAGAAAATGAAGGTAATAAAAAGAATAATAAAAGTAACCAATAATAAAAGTAACAAATATGGGGGGGGGGAAAAAACAATGGTCCACAGAGTGGAAATGTTCCATATACACTGGTGCCTCGCTTAACGGGCACCCTGTTTAACGATGAAATCACATAGCGATTAACTTTTTGCGATTGCTTTTGTGATCGCTTTGCGATGTTCCCTATGGGGAAAAATTGCTTTGCGATGATCGGTATCCTGTTTCGCTTACCGATCATCGCAAAGCGATTATTTTTTAACAGCTGATTGGCGGTTCCAAAACGGCCACCGGGTTAAAAAAATGGCCACCCGCTGTTTTCTGGGATGGATGCCTCGCCTACCGGGCAGCGAAAATGGCCGCCGTATGTAGGATTTTCGCTTAAAGTTGAGTCTGAAGCCCATAGGAACGCATTGAAGGGGTTTCAATGCATTCCTATGGGCTTTTTAATATCGCATAGCGACGAAATCGCTTTGCAGTGATTTTTGCTGCACGGATTATCGTCGCTATGCGAGGCACCACTGTGCATATACAGCAGATAATCTGTGGTGGCTGGGAACTGTGACAGCAGCATGGGGACACAGTACAGATGAGTGAGTGAGTGAGCACAATCTTAGAATACTAGTTGGAAGAGCAAAAGAGACAGAAGGAGGGAGCAGCAAACTGAAGTATGGCATATCGAATACTGTGAGCAGAGTGTGCCACCCTTTATTAAAGGGAACTTAAAGCAAGCCCAGCAATGGTTGACCTTAAGGAAAATAAGTTTTTCTACAGATCCAGGTTACAAGCGAGAATGGTGGGAACTGACAATGTCCCCTTCCTGAGAAAACATTTTTTCACTGGGCCTACTAATTGGTGGGCAAGATAGCAGTCCCACTGCCAGCTTGAACAGATTGCCCGAAACAGACTCCGTCTCAACCCAGTAAAACAAGGGACCAGTCTCTTTTGGTTTGCAGGGCTCCTGCATATATGCCTCTAACTCTGCCATGTCCTTCATCTAGGGTGGTGTTTCTGGAGGATAGTCCCCTGTCATGCTTGTCAAGACAGAGTCCCAGAAAACTTGTTCTGTTGTTGCAGGGGTGCAAGACCTGGACTTGGACCCTAGAATGCAACTGCTGGTACTTCTGTTTCGGATGCTATAAAAGTTGCTAGTTTCTTTTTGTTCTCTCGACCCCTTGGTACTAGTCAGACCTCCTTCACTAGCCGCTGCTGCAGCATGTGATGGAAATTTGGCTAGCATTGCAGCATCTCTTGCTGCTGCTTAATATCCATTGTATCCTGTTTAACTCAGGGGCCCAAGAGGGTTGCTAGAACATGTTCCTCTTTCTTTCACAAGGAAGCAAACCTGTACTGGAGCAGGTCCTTTAGCTTGCTGGCCAGGGCCACCACTTCAGGCCAGAAAAAAAATACTGCTCTCCTTTTACAGAATCTCCCTGTCTACCCAGACCCCCCTCATGCCTTTCTATCATGTGAACCAAGCCCTGGATTGCCTTGCTAAGGATTGCTGTCATTTCACTGTGTTTCGCTCTCAATGCTTCAGAGGACATAGACCACTTGACCCACGTTGCCGACTCTTCTCTGTCCAGAGGAGCAGCCACACCAATTGAAGTCTCAAGTGCAAAATCGTAGAATTTGCTGCTCTAGCATTCTTTCAAACATTCATAAAGTAGAGTTCCATTGAGTTGCTACATCCTGGATTAGGTGGCACAGTGACAATCCCAATTTTTCTTGCCTCTACTGCAACAGCACACTGCCATGGACACTGGTGAAAATGCCCTGTCACCTTTCTGGCCCACTCAGTTATTTTAGGTATGTGCCTGTCTCCTGCAACTATTAGGTTGAGAGTGTGGACCGTACACCACGTCCCTTTCATCTTCCCAGCCTGCAGTGCTTACCACTATGTTGCCCTCATTTTTTTGTGACAAACAGATCTTGCTTTTCTGTAGATAGACTCCACTGATGAGTCAAGTCCTGTGTTGATTCAAATGGCCCTAATCTAACTGTGACTTACTATTCTAAAATAATTCACAGTTAGTCCATTTGAATCAATGGAACTTATGGAGGAGTTGACTCAACAAATCAGCATTGATTCAGTGAGCTTACTGTAGTGTGATTCCCTAAACTGAGCAACATAATTTTGTCCTGTGTGTTCTCAGGAATGCATATAATGGAGAATGAACTGTTTATTGAAAACATTTTTCTTCCTGTATCTTTGTAAACCATACAATGCAATTCCATAGACCAGAGATGCAGAGAAACCAGAGACATTTCATCACGGTGTTCCAAAGATGGATCGTTGCCGCATTTCCATAATTTTTATAGACTGATAATATTTAGGAAGTACTGTTGCCCATAATAAGCAGGGAAAAATTGGTTATGGATGTAGTTTCTTCTTACTGTTTCATGAAAGTAAAATTGTATGTCTCAGAAAAAAACAAATCAGTTCAGCCTTCAGTTACAAGCATATTTCAGGGACAGGTGCCTCTAGGTGAAGCACATATTGGTGAGTATGATTTTTAAAAAATCAGTCTCAAGACGTGAGTGTTGTTTTGTAAAAATATAATAACTGTAATCCTGTCCACAGAGCTCCATATGCTATGCTGATGATGTTATGGGTTATGGACTTCTGTTTTTATTTGAAAGTTTCAAACCTCTCCCTTGGGTTCCAAGGCTCTGTAGGGATTCATTTCAACCCGGGAAAGCCCTTGAGGTCCTTGGAGAGGGGAGACTTTGAGGTACAAAACTATTTGAAGGTCCCAGTGATGGAGATTATGAAACTCTCAAGGCTTCACCTTGCCCCAGGGACTCCAGAGGCTTCTCTGGGTCAAAAAGGATTCCTAGAGACCCTCATAACCTGATAGGCAATAATAATAATGATGATGATGATGATGGTGATGTGTCATCAAGTCAATTCTGGCTTATGGTGATCCTTTTCAGGGTTTTCTAATACTTAAGAAGTGGTTTACCATTTTCTTCTTTTGGGACATCCTGAGACTGTGCAGCTTGTTCAGGACCACATTGGCTCTAAACTCACAGGAGGCATAGTGGGGAACTGAACTTCTAACCTATGGCTGCATAGCTGGATGCTTAACTCAGTGAGCTATCCAGTCAGCCCTGTAATGGTTTGATAGGAAACTTAATTAAAGGTTAAAGTTCATGGCTGATGACATTTCAGTCTTACACATGGAGCTATGTGAGCAGGATTGCAGCCAATGCATATTATTATTTTGTTAATCATTTCCTCACACTGTAATTTTAAACTGCTGCATTGGATAACTTGGTGCTGCAATGGTCAATCAGAATGTGATTTATTAAAATATATCAAATTTAATAAATCAGTCTAACTAGATATTCGGTGGCCTTTGTTGTCATCTCCGTGCATCACATAATTGGGGTCTTGGACCTGTGCAGTGAGTACCATGAAATTTTCTGTAGCTGAGCAGTTCTGTATCCCTTCACCCACACCATGGATGTGCAGATGTACCAGCCTGCTCATCCTTTGGCACCAGTATCTCCAGGATGTGCACAACCTTTTGTTTGCTTGTTTAGTACTTACCAGCTTTATTTAAAATAGTACCATTGTCTAGGGGCCCTTCCCCCCCCGATAATCCCTTTCGCCTGCTCTATGGATTTTGGACTTCATCTCTTTGTAATACTTCTGTGGCCTCCTTTGAAAATTGTGCCTTCTGGGAAGGAAAGATCGCCCCTTCTATTGATCACAGTGCCTTTATTGCCTTGGCGAAGGTCATCTGACTCAATCACGTTGTTTAGTGCAGGGAGTTCACTATGTAAGGCTTTCATAACAGAGTACACAATAAAACCATTTGCCCCAAAGACCTCTTTAAAAGCAGCAGACCAGACAGCTCAGAATAAACCAATTCGTAAGGTCTTGTTTCCTATGATTAAAAAGTCATTTTTATTACAGTGGGCCTGGAAGTATCATTGAAGTAAATCAAGTTGGCTTAGAGGTATATGTCATCTACCACCATAGATGCCATTTGCCTTCTTCATCTGATTGCTCTGACACTTGTTGCTTTGGCCACACTACCACTCCTGATTTGTGCACCATTATTGGACAAACAGTCACCTGACTTAGAATCTTTTTACACATCTTCTTGAAGCAAATATTATGGTTCCAGATTACTCTCTTATCATCAGCCCTGAAGCTGACTGCCACTGGCAACCACTGCAGAACTATCATTATTATCATGATTACTTCCCCCACCATAACAGTGTTCACCCTACTTATAACAATAAGTCCCCATCACTTTGCTATTGAGCCCAGCATTCATATGACTATGCCAGTTTGGATCACCCTCTTACCAGCTGACTAGTCACTGGAAACACCAATGTTAATATCCACTATCGACTACCAACTCTAGACTTCTACCCAACAACTACATAGCACTGCAACAGTGCTGCTGTTCCTCAGTATTGACATCAGTCCTAGCAGGTTTTTCGTTATCCATGGTACTGGCCATGATACCACCTTCATTACTCATGTTTTTTCCACTGATCACATGTCTTTCCCTTATTGTTTCAGCAGCGCTCCTAGCATATCCGTCACCCTTATTTCATCTTGCACTGATTCTGACCCCTTCTCTGTCAGTCATATCCTACCAATGATTCTAGTGCTTACTTTGTCCTTTGCAGTGACTGCTTCAGAATACTAGTTTCAAGATAATGTGTAAAAGATCTCAAGTCAGGTGAATAGTTTGTCCAATAACTGCACAAATCAGGAGTTGTAGTGTGGCTAAAAGCAACAAGAGTCAGAGCCATGAGACTGAGACTGAGTAAAGCATTATTGGTATTCCAAGCAGAGTAAAAGGTGTTGCCTGCATAGCTGCTTATCAGCAATTCTTATAGAAGAAGCTGTAGCTTGTATAGCATACTTCACACCTTTTCATGGCACCTTATTTCCTCGACAAGGCTTATTGTCAGCAAATCCATAGTGTTTGGCATGTTGTACATTGCACCTCCAAGATGGTGGTGGCCACTGAAGCCCTTAGACTACATTCATGGTCCTGTAGATCAGATGTCAGAGCATGGAACAATGCTTTCTTTGGTGTACTGTCTTGCCTTTAATACTCCAAACTTGTCCACTACAGTAAAGTAGCTTCCTAGTCATCCAATTGTGTGATGGATCTCAGAATCCCCCTACAGCTCTGTTATTTTCCCACATCAGAGTAGAAACTAAGAGGGATGAACAAGGTGCACTTGCAAATACCTGGTATGGATGGGGAGATGGGATTATCTCTGAAAGACTGCTCAGCTATAGAACATTCTGCGGGAGCCCCTATATAGGTGCAAGAGCACAATTGCATGCATGTACAGATGATCACTCACCATGGTTACAAGAAAGTGAGCTCTTCTTTTTACATAAGAGCTAAAGTATGGCTAGATGTAGACAATAGTTATTTTAGGGAATAGGAAGTTGTCTGTCCTGTGTGCTGTGTGCACATCTTCTCTGTCATCGTGGCCTCTATGAATCATGTTGAGGATATTCCAGGCATGTGGAGCTTGACCAGAATGTGTACATGCAAAGAAAGATATATTAGTATAGCCTCCCCCTCTATTTGTACCTTGGAGCCAAGGCTCTCCCCTCAATTCTTTTCAGGTTTTGAAGCAATACAAAGACTTGGTCGAAACTGGTTATCAGTACGTATCCTGAGCCGAGATTCTTCTTTCAAACTACCTTGAACATTAAGAATCTTTGGCCTGTTGAATGAAGCATAAAAAAATAAAGATAACTATTAACTGCAACCAGGCCCTCTTCTTTCTTTCTTTATGTGCCATTCTTCTGTTTAAGGATACCTAGAATGGGAAACAATGTGATTAGGACATTTAAAAAAATATTAAAACACATGACAAATATTGTAATTTTAAAAGAGCAAACAATGCAATATGTCCTACTGATTTTGCTGTACTGTGTTGAAGAATGTCAGGTTTCTCCATAATTTGCATGATTAAAAATTAGACTGCTTCTAGGAAAGTGGTTTAATAGCTCTATTTGTTTAAGAGACTTGCGTGAAAACTTGGAGTTTCAATTTCAGAACCCAAAGCAGGTTTTAGGTTGACTACTGTAAACATATTTTGAAACTAATTTCTTACTCTTTTCCCCTTATAACTACATGCATTAATTTTTCATACAGTGGCCTTAAATTTCCAAACATCTGGAGTACAAATGGATCTTCAGACTGGGAAATTTTTGGATAATGGTCGTTGTGGTTATATCCTAAAACCTGAATACCTAAGAAGTAAGAACACAAAGTTTTCCCCATATGATCTAACTGAAAATTACCATCGTGTTATGCTTACAATCAAGGTCAGTTCAGTTTGCTGGTAACATTCTCATGGCTAATTTGCTAGACTACTTGCTTTTACAAATATTTATTCTTATGTGAATAGCCAAAATTCTCCACAGCCACTTTAGGTAACTTGTGCTTGATAACTCACAGGTACCCTATTTATATCAGGCAGGATCTGTGTCTTAACACCTGGTTACTATCTTTTTCAGGTAGATTAGTGAAGATGGGTAATAGATTATTAGTTTTCATGGCTTTGAACATGATTCGATTCACTGTGAGAAGTATGCCATGAGGACTGATTAGCATACAAACACAAGCCTTGCTGAACGTTCCAGCTAGGAATATGTTTGGGAAGGATTTGAAGCAGATGATTAGTTGATGGTTGTGAAGAGATATGCCTATGTTATAAAATTTTAGGATGTAATTTTAAATATTCCTGTTTACTCAGGCATCTGGTGGCATTTGATTTTCATGCCTATCAGCTCCATGTTCTTTATATATATTGGCTGCATTTTCTCTTATTTTTTTATTGTCTAGATGAATTGTTAATGATATTGTTAATGATAGCGTGAAAACATGTCTAAGATGAGATAGGTAAATCATTAAGTAATCAACGATGGATGGATGGAAGGAAGGGAGGGAGGAAGGAATTTGGATGTTCAGGGATTAGCATACCTTTCAATTTCTGTTTTCACATCATTTGGATGCACATTTTGTTGTGGCTTAGGTGTCTAGCAAAAGTTAAAGTCATTCATCACATTTAGAGCATAATAAGATGGTAGAGTTTGTTGTGGCTATGAATACTGGCTTCTGTCTGGCCTGGGGAGTAGTTACAAAGGTCCTCTCAATTTCTTTGTTGACTCATCATTTAACAGCTACAAAGGAGTTAAAGGTGGGTGCCTGATAATGCTCCCAGATTGATCGGTCACTATGTTGCTTTTGTCCAGAAGGTCCAAAAGAAAAGCTTGTCTCATTCCAGAAATTCCTTTCCTATCTGTTTCCTCCCCACCAGGGGAAAATATTGCTTTTCTCTTCCCAGCTATAGTTTTCTTGACAATAAGATCAACAAGCTTATTCATCAGCTATAACCTATAAATATAATTTATCTGTTAAATCCCAGTGTATTAGACCTGTTGATTCAAGCTACAATGCTCACTATAGCAATGACGTAGAAAAATTGCCAGTCAGAATTAGAATAAACCACACCAGCTTGATTTATTATCTGCAATATTTCCTTCTACTTTTGTCTGCTTGCTGTTAGAAATAAATACCTTGAGTGCCACAGATGCTGAGATTAGCTTCCCTTAAGTGCAATGTAGTCATCAGAGGCATTTGACAAGTTATGAAATACCATTGCTATTGTTTCTTGTCTACTTAGACAGTGGATGTTCTGCGGCATGTGATAATTAGCTGGCTTTAATAGTTACAAAATTTTGAAAATCCAACTATGAAGGTTTATTTTACCCTATTGATTACAAATATGATTAAACCATTTTGTTTATTTTCATTTACATTTTTCTTAAATAATTTGCAACAATTTAGATTGGGTTTTAGATGTAGAGTGGAAACAATACCGAATGATTATGGTTTTCTTCAGATACCATAGTTTTGCCACTGTAAGAGAATGGTTCCTGCAGGGAAGGTTGGGAAGCACCGTAAAATGTCTGGGTTTTCTGATAAGAGCAGGGAAAAAACAAAAATGGGGATAACCATGTAGGCAAAACAAGAGTTTGAGGAATCAGTTTAATCTATGATTATAAATAGCTATAGTCCATGATGGCAATCTATTGCACTGAATCCAACATAGCGCTGGCAGTTGCAAAAGATTTTTATTGCCTTCTCCCCACAATCTGATCTGCCACCCAAAAACTGGTTTGTGGGTTTTCCAGCTTTCGAGAGCTGGTGTTGGGGACACATAGAAGGGCTACAGTGGATTAGCACCAAATCTGGAGAGCATGGTTGCTAGTCCCAGACCCACAAATAAGGGCAGGTCTAAAGGGCAAGTCTTCATGAGAAATGTAGATGTGGAAGCAGTGTTTAGGACAGGACATAGGATAAGATGTACACTACAACTTGCAAATATTTGATGTTTATGTATTTAAAATAGAATTGCTTTTCAAGGCAGTTCTCAATACACTTTTCAACATAATTTTGTTTTAACCACAAATATAAAAATACAACCAAAACAGCAGCATAAGACATTTAAAATGACAGCAACAGTAACATTATAGATGTTGTACAAATGAACTACCAATACAAAGGATTTTAACACTCCAATTTGCAAAGAAACATAATAGAAGAAGTTACTACCCATAGAAATTCACATTCAGTGTTTTGACATAGACAATATAAAGAGAAAGAGCAAAAAAAGGTGGGGATGAAGTCAAGAGGAGAAAAAATACATACATGCTCATCTCGTGTACTTAAGATTACTTTAAGTAGCAGATGATGATTAGTTGTAGACTCACTGATATTCTGTGATTTGGAACAAGGTAAAGATACGATATGAATTAATGAGAAGATAGAACAGATTACACAGTTACAAGGCATATAAGTTAAACAGTTTTGTAGCCAATGGAATTGTGTTCTGGAATGGAGAAATGAAAAATTAGCCACTATTTAATCCTTTTTACCTTACCATTTCCCTCCAGTTAGAATTGCTTCTCCTGAATGCATTTTCATCTGCAGTAAAAAGGTACAGGTGCTATATGAAGCTGTCTTCCCAATCATGAGTGAAATATTATGAAGAAACAATCCCATTCATTTCTTCTCATTTCAGGAAAATCCAATCCTCTTCACCATTTTCAATTAAAAACAAAATGGAAGCCCTACATATAGCTGCTCTGAAATGTCTAATTTGCCTATGAGACTGAAAACCGAAAAAACTTGTATTGTCATTTCAAAGGAGATTGCTATATGGAGATTTGCATCCTGATACATTCGGCATTTTCTCAAGGACACTGTATGTGTCACTGCAGTGAGGCAAATAGGTTTAGGGTTGCAGCAGGAAGCTTAATATATTGAGTTACTTGTACTGGATTCTCACTCATGCCACTAAAATCTGTGTTACTGCAGATAGTGGCTCCACCAATGGTGATTACAATTATTTTACACCGTTGTTGTACTTATATCTCCTGTGGTGAACATACTGGAATCCTTATTAGTCTGGTGGAATCCAGTAGGTCTTCAAGAGCCTAGAGCAGCGATGCCACAGCTGGCACGCAGAGCCCTCTCTGTGGGCACGCGAGCCATAAGTTGCTGAATCACTACCCCCAGCAGCCAAACCCGAGGAGGTGGCTGAAGCTGCAGTATTAGCACCATGACAGGCGGCGGGCCAGGATCTGGAGCAGCTGGCGGGCCAGCCAAGCTATAGGTAGTGGCGGGGTTGGGCATGACTGGAGGTGGATCTGGAGTGGGGTCTGGAGGCACCTCCGTGCCCAGGATTCCTGCATCCACCGCCACTTCCACTTCCCCCACTACTGCTTCTGCCACTGCCCGCCACCCACTTTTTATTTTGGCAGTTTGGGCTCAAAAAGGTTTGCCATCACTGACCTAAAGTAACCTCCATGCCATGATGGGGTGGCAGAACAAAATGCTCTGAATTATTACCTTCATAGTTCAGAATAAATAGAATTTATGTAGCTTTTTTAAAAAAATAGCTTGTTGTTAGACTTTGTTGGGTAAGTTTCAGTTTAAAAAAAGTTGATGCCAAAATAGCATCCATTTATGTCTGATGCCGTGTTTGAAGTTTGTGTATTGTGTTTGCTTGTGCAGCTTATCAGTGGCCATCAACTACCACCCAGCAGTTTGTCAAGGACTAATAAAGCTGACCCAGTAGTTGTAATAGAAATTTATGGTATTCCAGAAGACCAGACAAAGCAACACAGTTGTGTAGTTAAGGGTAATGGTAAGTACAAGGATTGAATGTGTAAGGTCTCAGTAATTTAGAAATGTGGCTCATTAACTTAAATAGGTTAAGGTCATCAAAGTTACTGGATGAGCAGTTGAGACAGTGTACAGAAGAAGCAGTGTACAATTCAATAGGAGAAGCAAAAATAGCACTGGAAGCATTTGTAATGTTAATTTTGACCATTTTAATTTTCTTTGATTTCTTCAGATTGTAACATAATGACACTTATAGGGACGTGGTGGTGCTGAGGGTTAAACCGCAGAAGCCTCTGTGCTGCAAGCTCAGAAGACCAGCAGTCGTAAGATTGGCTCTATGGCTTGGAGGCGGGGATGAGCACCGCGCCCTAGAGTCGGACACAACTGGGCAATTGTCAAGGGGAACCTTTACTTTTACCTATGACACACTTTCCCATGTTGACATATTATATAGTCTCTCATTCTGTTATATATAACTCCAGACCCATATTTAACAACAAATGTACAGTAGAGTAAGGAGGACAAAAGAGGGTCAAGGGAGAAAAAATAAATAAAAATAGGATAAAAGATAGGTGGTATGACCAATGGAACTCCAAACTCAAAGCCTGAGGTAATTAGTACTAGTAAGATCAAGGATAGTAACACCAAAAGATTCTAAATACAGAATCCTAATACTGTACATACTTTCTGTTTTCAGTGACTAGAAGTTCTAACTGAAGACCTAACAGGTCTATTTTTTACATGTGGACATTGAGAAGATTCCCACTTTCTGAGAAGAAACACTTTGTTACAGCCATAACTTTGCAAAACCAGATTTGTTATTATTATAGAAATCTCATTACTTGAATCTTGATAGATTCCTGTGCTAAAATCGCAGAGGTGTTTTTGAACTGCGATGCAGGTTTTAGGGATGCTTTCAGATGAGGCTTTCAGAATCAATTTTCTCTCTCTCAGACAGAGTTTTCCTTAGGGGTGGTAGCAAAGCAACGTTGTTATCTCTCATTCATTACTCCCCGCATGCTTTGCCACAGTTTTTGTTTTGTTTAGTTTATTTCTACCAAAATGGCCATTAAGGGGGCAAAAACAGGATAGTTATATAATGCCTTTTAATGAGTAGTTCTAGGAACTGTGTATCTAGAAGTACCTCAGGTTTGATCTTGAGTAGAGGAAGAAGAGATGGTCACAGATAAGGACAACAGAATATTCTTGTAATGCTTCATGTAGGAAATATGTGGTAGTGTTTTTGAAATACATGTGCTTTGCAAATTTCTTTCTTGCTATTCAGCCTGAATAGCAGATATTCAGATATTTATGTTTCCTAAATTGATAGGGTAAGTTGCAGAGATTCCCAGAATGATGTAGTGGATCGAGTGAGGGACTAGGACTCTGAAGAACAGGGTTCGGATCCCCAGTTGGTCATGGAAACTCACTGAGTGAGTGGAACTGGTGAAACCATGCCTTAAATATCTCATATAACCTTGAAAGTCCTGTTAGGGTCATTATACGTTAATTCTGACTTGACGGCACAGAAAAAAAACAACAATAAAAAGTTGCAGATGTTTTAGATTTATCATGTGTAAAAGGCCTTGTGAAATACTTCCTGAGAGGACAGAGTGATCTGGACATCTATACCCTTTTTGTTTTTAATCCTTTAATAGGAATTACTTGTTTGTCAGATTTTTCCTCTGTAAATAATTCAGACTAGAAGTGTGAACATCTTAAGAAAATTTGTACTTAGTTTTTCATTAGAGAATTAAACAGGGTGAAAGTGTCAGTATAATTGTGAATATGTGTCCCTGGAGAAACTTTCTCTCAAAGTACAGTGCATGGTTATTTTTCCATAAACAACCTTTGCATGTTACATCTGTACAATGGCAGTTTTTCAGTAGAAGTGCCACCGACTGGTGGGTTTTCCAAGAATGATATTCACATAGAACTTGCATTTGAAAGTAGGTAAAGGTAAAGGTTTCCCTTGACATTTAGTCCAGTCGTGTCCAACTCTAGGGGGCGGTGCTCATCCCTGTCTCCAAGCCATAGAGCCAGTGTTTGTCCATAGACAGTTTCCGTGGTCACGTGGCCAGTGCAACTAGACACAGAATACCGTTAGCTTCCCACCATGGTGGTACCTATTTATCTACTTACATTTTTACATGCTTTTGAACTGTTAGGTTGGCAGGAGCTGGGACAAGCGATGGGAGCTCACTCCATCACATGGATATGATCTTACAACTGCTGGTCTTCTGAGCTTGCAGTACAGAGGCCTCTGTGATTTAACCCACAGCACCACCACATCCCTGAAAATAACCAAGGAGCAATTCTTGAAGAATTGATGAAAATTATGTAACAAGGGTTTCTGCATAGTTAGAATTTCTCCTGCTTTTGTGAGCCTTTCAGACCTGTTCTCTTGCAGTTAACTGGCAAGGTGAAACTCATTTATGAGCAATGAAACTCACTACTTGGCTTATATTGCTCTCTTTATTTCAGCTTTGTGTCCTAGGTGGAATGAAACGTTCACATTTAATGTGCAAGCTTCAGAGCTTGCCTTAGTACGATTTGTTGTTGAAGATCAGCTTTCTCTCACTTCCAATGATTTCCTGGGTCAATATACTTTGCCACTTTTGAGCATGAAGAAAGGTATTCACTATTCTATATGCAAAATATTCTAAATCTCTATCAATGAACTGTTCTCTACATTGTTCTTGTATTTGAAACATAGGTTTAAATTGGATGCAGCCACTACGTAGTGAAGCTTTACTTAACTAGATGCCTTTCAGGTGTTTCGGACTATGCTTCCCATCTTCCAAGACCGTTGGCCATGCTAGCTGTGGCTGAATGGAGTTACAGATCAAAGAAATGGAGGGTGCTAGTTTGGGAAAGGTTGTTATAATACTAGTATGACAGTGCTGATCTGATATGGTATTCTTCTTAGCATTGCAACAGGTATTAAGAATTATAAATTTGTTTATTTAAAATACTACTATATGAATTTAGTTCATGGCATCTGTTCCGTTCCAGTCACAGCATCTATTGGATGTTGTTGTTGTTTAGTTGTTAAGTCGTGTCCGACTCTTCGTGACCCCATGGACCAGAGCACGCCAGGCCCTCCTGCCTTCCACTGCCTCCCGGAGTTTGGTCAAATTCCTGTTGGTAGCTTCAATGACACTGTCCAACCATCTCATCCTCTGTCGTCCCCTTCTCCTCTTGCCTTCAAATTTTCCCAACATCAGGGTCTATTGGATAACGAGCAATAATCTAAGAAGCATGCAGATCCACTTTGAGTGCTTACAACCTCAGATTTCATTTAAGTGAATCTGCAGCTAAATGCACACAATTTATTTGGAGTCACCTTGATTCTGAGGATGGCAGCAGCCACTTTTTCAGCAATGCTTGCTCTATGTACCATTTGGGACCCTCTTGTATGAATTGGACCTTTATCTGGCCAAGCCAGCACTTTGTAAATTGCAGCACTTTTGTTGCAGTGGGAGATGAAAGGGGTGTTCCTGTTCAGCACTATTTTCATTCACATAGTTTCATACATCAGGAACTTAAGAAAACAAAAGAAGATAGTTACATAAATATTGAGTTAGCTGTGAAATTGAAGATAAGAGGAAATAAGTCACTGGGCCAAAAAGAAAGAATAAAGATGTGGACACCAAACAAAGAGTTAGAAGATGGGTTTGCGAAGAGTGAGTCAACCTTTTGATACACCACCTGATTAAGAATACAGGGGGCTGCTGTTTACCTGAGTGAAATGACTAGTTCTTTTAGCTTAGTGGTATCTACTGACTGGTTATGTTTCTCTGCAGATTCAGACAGAAGTCTTTCCCAACCCTCTGTGGAGATGCCAGAGATTTTTTGCATGCTAAGCATGTGCTTTACCATTTAGATCCAGTCCTTATCCTAAATCAATTATCATTGTTTCAAGACTACTGTACCATTGTGATCACGTATCTATCTTGTTCACTAATATGTCAGTCTGTATTTCTCTAGGTTTCATTTCTTGATGATAATGGAAAACATAGAACTTTTCTTTGTATATATTAGTGTACGTGCAACACTTTGTATGCAAAGGACTCATACATTGCTATTTCATTTGCAGGTTATCACCAGGTTCCACTGTTTTCCAAACTTGGTGTCAGCTTGCATCCTGCTTCACTCTTTGTACATATTTGGTTTTTAACCAATAATCCTTGTTAATGTTACTGCTGATTTCTTCAATAAAGAAACAATGGTGAAATACTAACAATTAGTAGTGCCAATTGCCTGATATATGATTTTATGCATAGAAGTTGTTATTATTTGGGACATACAAGGGCAATATAAGACTTGTGCTGGAACAGAATGTTTTTTTTTTCTCCTAACAGTTGCTGGACATATGTCTTCTGAGTTCTCAAAAGTATGAATTGTTAGTGACAGTTTTTTTTAAAAAGCAATCATAGCTAATGGCTGTTGGTAGGACTCTACACATTTGTTTAATTTTAAACCTATACAAGTCAATGATCATAATTACATTATGAAGTAGTGAATTCAATTAATTGCATGTTATCATATACCCAGATTAAAGTGTGTGGTCTTTCAGACTTCTTAGAGAGAGAAAAAGATGTTACAGCGAGCCTTCATTAGAAAAGGTGAATCCCTAAGGGCTGAGTAATAGTAATGGAATAATAGAAGATGCCTCCCTCGTCTCCCACTGTTTGTGAATTAGCTTGTTTTATTTTATGAGAGGTCTCCTGGACCTAAGCCTGGGATTCCTTTGAAATCTGATTTCCCAAACACGAAAACTACCTTGTTCAGATCTCTCCAACATTAGTGTGCTTTTAAGTGTTGTGACAAAGTGTTTATAATGTAACATTCATTTCTGTCCTCATTCCTATTCCATTCTCAAGCATGTTCCCCGCTACTCAGATGTGGAAGGCATGTCAATAGGTGAAATATGCAATATCTTTAACATAAGAACAAGTGCCTAGTGGTCTTCAGAATGAGATGTGTGCCATTTGGGACGGATGCCGCTTCAATTTTTCTTTGTACGTTGTACAGTATTCCTTGTCTGATGTTGGGTGACAGCAGTACCATTGAAGTCAAATGGCTGTCAGTTTTTGTGAACGGCTATTTGTAAGAGATTGCTGTGCTATATATTCCACAGCCAGTAAAATAAAATTACTCCTGAAGAAAACAGCTTGTTGTTTATAATTTACTATAGTGTAAGGCCTAAGGTGGCTTTGATGTAGGGTTTTTACCTCTGAATCACTGAGTGCCAAACTACAGGATGCCCATCACAGGTAACATGTCTTTTATTATGGGAAGGGACACTGTCATGAAGATTACAAATTAAATTATAAAAGTAGTACTGGAAGTAGTATTTCTTCAGCGTGGCCTCTGTGAATGCACACAAATGGGTAAAAACAGCGCCTGTGCTGTCCTCTTGGAATCTTCTAGAGCTTTAGGAAAAAGTAACAAAGTTTAGGTTGCCCTCTACAGCGCATGCTCCACCCGTCTCAGCTCTCAGTTCCATTTTTTCTTCCAGTGGAGTTGGAATCTCTCGACTAGAGCTCTCCTTTTCGTGTTCTTATTTTGGCTAGTTCGTATTTGACCTGGCTTGTTCATCGATTTTCCGCTTTTCTGTTGCTCTGACATCGGACTGAACAACTTCTCTACTGGCTAATCCCTGCAAGTACTTGTTGATTGTCTTTTCCCACCTATTAGACCGCCCGCTGTGGCGCCACGCGCCATCTTCCTAATCCTTTTAGCACCTCATTATTGGACTTCCTCCCCGTAATTGCCGGCTTATGTCCCATTCAGGACCATTCAGCCGCTGTACTGCCTGTTCCCGAAAGCTACCCTTTTCTGACGACCACAGTCTTTGTGGTTTTTGCCTGGGAGAAAACCATCAGCCCATTTCTCTGTAGGCACTGCAAAGGATTTTCCAAAGCTGCTCTTCCAAAGCCTGTCAGCAACGATTGAAATATTTTCTTTGGAACCAGACACTCTCTGCCTCTCAACCTTCTGAAATGGTATATTCCAACTACATCTACTGTACGGTCTGAAGTTTGGGTTGCCTCACCACCCCCTCTTCAAAAAACTAAGACTGTGGACAAACCCAAGAAAAAAGCTATTGCTAAGAAGTCACGTACTGTTTCTTCTGCTTCCAATGCAGCCACTGAGCTGAAACAAAAGGATAAAACAACTAAGATCAAGGGGAGCATACCCTTTCAGTCCCACCAATTTCAGCATCTGTGCCTTCACCTATTCTGGAAGATTCTTCTCAGGACTGAGAATCGTTTTCTGAAACGGGGACTTCATTACCACCCCAACAACAAGAATCACTACCTATCAACACCGGACAATCACCTTCCACAAGCCAACTAGCCCAGACTGTTGCTAGTTCAGCTTTGGCCCATCGCAGCTCTGTTTTTACCGGGTGGGCATCACATTCTCCTTCAATGTCGAGGTCTTTGGCTTCGAATTCTCCACCCCGTAAGAGACCAGCGAAGGCCAAGAACCTCTCTCCTCCTCAACGTCCACATTCAGAGCAGGAGGTGGTCATTTTGCCTAGAAAATCTCAGCACCGACATAAGCACAGGTGGAATAGCTCAGACTCCGACATGGAGAAGAGGAGGAAACGATGCTGAAGAGATGAATCTCTTTCTGACTCAGATTATAGTGAGGACCGAAGGAAATCTCAGCATTGACGTCGAAGACGGGATTATACATCAGACTCCTCTTCGACATCGGAGGGTTAGAGGAGGAGAAGGAAAAGAAGGCATTATGACTATTCCTTGTTCTCTTCGTTAGCCTCTCCTCCTCGCAAGCATCAACGTCGAGATCACATCAACATCGAGAGTCGCAAGTCTTCGAGGCAAAACCATAGGAAGGAGACTGCGATCTCTCATCATGACAAATCACTAACTACTTCCAAAGGCGCAGTTTCTGCCCAGGGACAGTCATCTCAAAAGGAGTCTGGACATCCTGCCAAGAGACATTCGACTTCAGAGCAGGAGCAACTTATTTCTTCAGGCCTCTCTGACCAAGAGGATGATATGATGTCTGAAGCTTCCCTACATCTACGGCCCTGCTGCGAGGAGTTGACATCCCTGACATTTGTAGAGCAGCTACATGGTCCAATGTGTCTACATTCATATCACATTATAGACTGGACCTCAGGGCCAAGGAAGAGACCAACTTTGGGAGAGCAGTGCTGATGTCCATTCTTCAGTGATGGTCCTCCTTCCGGTAAGTGAGCTTGCTAGTCCCCCTTTTGTGTGCATTCACAGAGGCCACGCTGAAGAAAGACAGGTTACTTACCTGTAACCATGGTTTTTCAAGTGGACCTTTGTGAATTCACACATCCCGCCCATTCTCCCCACTGTACGTCACTGACTAAGTCTAGTCTAAGCTCAAGCTTCTGTGGCGGACAAGTGGAACTGAGAGCTGAGGCGGGCGGAGCGTGTGCTGTAGACGGCAACCTAAACTTTGTTTCTTTTTCCTAAAACTCTAAAAGATTCCGAGAGGACCAGCACAGGCGCTGTTTTACCCATTTGTGTGAATTCACAGAGGTTTACTTGAAGAACCATGGTTATAGGTAAGTAACCTGTCTTTTCTTTTGTACCATACCTTTACCATTGCAGGCACAATTCTACCACACAATTTGGTTAACAAAAAGTTTCAGCAGGCAACAGGAGCAGTGGACTATATACAGTAGCTGAACCAGACTGATATCAGAGGCCAGTAAGCAGTTTTGTATGAATGCAAAGCCTTTCCTTCAACCAGAACTACAAACCCAAATTCTAGGGTCTCCAAACCAAATGCATAGCCCCAGGTTGGCTGTATATTAAACAAGGTAAATAATTTTCTCAGTAGCCAGCCAACTGTCACTCTGTTTGTCTAAACATTTTCTAGCTGTGTGGACTAATGCCTGCATAGATCCCCTCACTTAATGTGTGAACTAATAAGCATCAGTGACTGTGGTTGCTTTACATAACATAAATTACTACTGTATGTAAATATTTTGTCTTAAATCTTTGGTCTCCATAGCAAAGGTAGCTCGAGCCTGCAGCTTGTATTAATAAGAAAATGAATATATACACCAGACATTTATAAGAAAATAATTCTTGAGTGCTTCTTTACCTTCTGGCATATGTATTGAACTTCAAAGGCAATCAATCAGGCAATCTCTTTAGAGAAGATGATGGTTTTTACAAAACCTTATATCTCAGCTTTTGGATGTTGGTGCTTTTTATGGACATAAAGTTACTTCATGTTCCTAATTTCTATGGCCTACCTATATTTGAGGGCCTGTATCATAATCCTAAGGCAGTGGATGAAAAAACTTGCAAATTCAAATTCCTCTGCTTCATATTCAGATGTACTGCCTTAATGCTGAGTATGTATTAAATGATGGCAAAAATCTAATGGTGTGTTTTGTTATCCAAGAACAGCAAAAGCAGAACTTCTGTCACCCTCGTGTTGTAGCCCTGTGTGGGTTTCCTAGCCCTCTTTTACAGGTTTTAAGGTATATGGGGCTTGTGTGGAAGAGCAGATAATCAGTGCTGATGGCAACTGAGGCCAATTTAATGTACATCACTGGATTCTGGGTGTTAGGTTCAATCTTTTAAATTTCTCATTTTCCCCTCAGAAAAAAGGAGGTTCTCGACAATGTGAATCATACTTACCCTTATTTTTAAAAGAAGATGGAAGGAAGGCTATTGCAAAGAACAACAGAACACATCTGTAAGAACAATAGTATGTGTTCTTTAAAAAGTAGGAATATAAATACTCGTGTTGGCCATCCCACTCTGAGAGAAAAATTCTACATCAAATAATAAGGGCCATGATGACCACTAGGCATTAATGACCTGTTTCTGTCTTCCATTTCATTTCAGTTGTTAGTACAAATACCTGGATTTGCACATGTTTAGAAAAAACCCTTGGTTTGTCTGGAAGTTGAGTCATGGCAACTGGACTTCTTTCTTATTCGGTTGAAATGTTTCACTACTCATCCAAGTAGCTTCTTCGCCCTTGGTTTGATGCATCAAAGCCTTAGAGCACAGTTACACAGCCATGAAACTTGGACACATGATGTCCATTTTATCTGAGCAAAGCCATGGTTGCTGTGAACCTAGTCAGGCTTCCTTCAGCAATGCAGCCCTATAGCTTCCTGAAGTGAGGGAGAGGACTGCCCATTTCATTTGAATGGGAGGATTTGCATCACAGCAGTGGAGAGGAGGCAGTTAGAATTAATAAATGAATTTTTAAAATAAAATCACCCTCAAGACATCCATCCATAGGGCACTCTTAGTGCCACATTTCAGTTGTCTCAGTTAGTGGTTTTGGAACTGTGAGTCTATCAGAGAGACATCCCTTTTTATTACTTTAAATTAAATACATAGATAACCCAAGATTATAGTTGGTTGCACGAAATCTCTTGAACTCGCTTTGACCTAACAATATGATGAATGGTTGAGCTATGCGTTTAACTGAATTATAAAGTTTATTACTCTGTGTGACAGTGACTCATACTGTAATCTCCATCTAGACATGGCCCTTGTTCCTTGAAAAGTACAGATAAAGAGTTCATTGATGAATTAACTAAATCATTTAGATCACAATTTTATTCCATTATTTATGTGTAAAAAGGGGGAAAATGTCTCAAAAATTTGGCAGTGGAATTAACCAAACACACTGCACAGATGTCTTGATTTAATGAAAGATGCCAGTTTTACAGATGTTGGATAAAATAAAGAGAAACTAGGACAAAGAGGAGTGCTTTAGGAATAGACAAGAATAGGAAGAGCATTAGTCTGAAGTGACATTTTCAACACATTTCTAAAATGGTATGATATATCTAGTGTGATTATCTTCTACAATTACTTCTTTGTCATTT